AAAATGTATCAAATATTATCAAATCGAAATCTCATGATCAAATGTCAAATGTCCGCATTTGTCTCCCATTTTTCTCCCAGTTTCTCCCCAAGACCTGCCGTCACTCTAACAAGCCCTTCATTCACACCCTGACAAAGCCTCCGAGTCCAGACCTGGAGCCGGTCTGATATAGTTGAAGCATGTTGAAGCATACTTGGGTGCAATTTTGCCGAATGCATGATAGGATGTACGAGTACGTATAACATATATGATCATATATTACATGAACATACCGAGACACTCATACTCCTGGTTCCATGCTGATGTAAAGAGTTCAGTGCATGACATCTTGCTGCGGGCGGTCAACCATGATTAAGCACCGGTCCTTTACGTGGTTTGCCACAAACGGCTGGCCTCCAAGCAACATGATGGAATCGTGCAAGTACCAAATTTACGTGCAAGTGTGTCATGGTCATGCGGGCATCCATATAAGAAAGTCAAGGGGACATGCTCAAAGTCAGCAAGTTTGTGATTAAGTGAGTGGGTGCATTGGTCTCTTCAAAATGTCCAGTAAGCGTTGTGCAAAAAATAACTACACCCAAAACAAAAATCTGGAGCAGGCTATATATGGGAGCCGGGTTTCTGCTGAGGAAATGTTATGTTGGTGTTTGATTTGTCGAATGTAGGTGTAGGTGGAGGTGTAGCTGGAAGATGTGCAAATGCAGAATCTACCTGTGTGCGTGTGCGTGTGCGTGTGCGTGTGCGTGTGCGTGCGCGTGCGCGTGCGCGTGTGCGTGTGTGTGGTGTTGTGTGGTGTTGTGTGGTGTGGTGTGGTGTGGTGTGGGTGTGGGTGTGGGTGTGGGTGTGGGTGTGGGTGTGGGTGTGGGTGTGGGTGTGGGTGTGGGTGTGTGTGTGTGGGTTGTGTGTGTGTGTGTTTGGGTGGTTAGTGGTTTGTGGTTGTGCTGTGTTTGTGGGTGTGTGTGTTTGTTTGTGGTGTGTGTGTTGTCCGTTTGTGTGCGCTTCAGCTCCCCGCGCCGGATGGACCGTGGGGCCAAAGCCCAAGAATAAGACCATGACCATACAAAAAAAAAAACGAGAAAGCAAATACAACATATTGTATTGTAAATACAATAAAACAGCTTTCAGCTTCCTTAAATGGTCATTACATTGTAGATAGATAGATAGATGGATAGATAGATAAATAGATGGATAGATAGATAGATGGATAGATTAGATTTAGATTTAGATTTAGATTTGGATTGGAGTAGAGTAGATCAGTAGATAAATATGCAAACATCTGAAATCTGTGCATCTACACAACTGTAGCTGCACGTATGTATGTAGAATATTGATGATAGCATGACATGCATTGTATGCTTGGAAATTCATGCAGCCTTACCAGTCCTCTCCATGGACACTGAACCACTAGCTAAGTGTTTCCTTCCTGTGGCAACGGCCATGTTGGTAACTGTCGTGTCTTTTACTTTTCCTTTCCCAGCATGGCATCACAGGGGCAGTACGTATAATTACACAGAAATTCTGGCAGAAATTTACGTTTGATG